TTGAGTTAAAAGTCGCCAGCGATGGAGATTCCACCATGACCCTTGGTCAGTCATTCCAGTGCTAATTACTTTCACTGTTTACACCTTCTTTCCAGTCTGAATTTGTCTAGCTCCAACTTCCAGCAATTGGATCCTGTTAGACCTTTGAGCTCATCATTAAATATTTGTTCCCCTTATAGGTACCTATATAATGTAATAGAGTCACCCCTTTACCTTCTCTTTGTTTAGCTACATAGCTTGAGCTCACTGAGTCTCTCATTCTAAGGCATGGTTTCTAATCCTTTAATCATTCACACACCTGCTCAATGACTATTCCCTATTTACAGTATAAGGCTAATTAAAAGGATTAGGGGATGACAACTCTCACAGTGCATTGGGATGCGGGAAATACTACAATTCCCAGAATGCACTGGATGTTAGACTACAACTCCCATGGATCAGTGGGAGCTAAGAGAATACATGTCCCAGGGTGCACTGGGGAGCTGAGAAACTCCAATTCACAGGGTGCAGTGGGGCAGCTGCAGAGTTTGTCTGGGGAGCTAAGAGGGGGCAAACGGTTTAGGTCGGGGTGGGCAAACTGTGGCCTGTGACCCATTTTAAGCCAGGGTCCTGGGTCAGGGGCTGCACCACGCGGCTCAGCCCCACTCCAGCCAGGGAGCAGGATCAAGGCTGCTCGGCGCTCCAGCTGAGGTGCAGGGTTGGGGGCTGCACCACGCGACTCCCGGAAGCCAGGGCATGTGTCCCGCTCTGGTTCCTACGTGCTTCCAAGGGAGCTGCAGTGGCGGTGCTTGCGGAGGGGGCAGCGTGCAGAGCTGCCTGGCTATGCCTCCATGTAGAAGCCGGAGAAGGGACATGCCACTGTTTCCAGGAGCTGCTTGAGGTAACGGCCACTCTGAGCCTCTCCCCATGTCCCACCCCTGTTCCCCCTCCTGCTCTCCAAACCCCTTGATCCCAGCACAGTACACCCCAAACCACTCATCCCTAGCCCCATCCCAGAACCCACACCCCCAGCCAGAACCTGCACTCCTTCCTGCACCCGTGCCCAGGCCTGATCCCCCCCCGCCCTCCAAACCCCTTAGTCCCAGCCCAGAGCACCTTCCTACACTCCAAACTCCTCAGCCCCAGCCCCAACCCAGAGCCTGCACCCCAACCCCAATTTTGTGAGCACTTATGGCCCACCATATAATTTCTATTCTCCGATGTGGCCCTTGCGCCAAAAAGTTTGCGCACCCCAGTTTAGGTCATGGGGATGGAAGAGCTATATTGGGAGCAGAGAGGTTAGAAGCCCAGAAAGGACATATCCCAAAATGCACTGGGGTGCAGGGCATGGGCGTGCCAGAGGGCTAAGAAACTACAACTCCCATAATGCACCGGGTTAGCCAAACAACTACAACTCTCTAAAGGTTTTGGGGGCAGAAAGAGAATGGCTCCCAGAGTTCATTGGCGCTGAAACACGCTCTCTTGGGGCGTTGGGGCAGACTGCACTACAGCTCCCAGAGTGCACTGCGGGCAGTGGGCGGTCCCTCTCCCAGAGCGCATTGGGGCTAGAGCGCACTACCGTTCCCAGCGTGCGCTGGGGCTGGCCTCCTTCCGGCGCAGGGTCCCGGGGTTAGCAGCACGTGCGTTGCGGGGCGGTCCGGCTGTGCGGCATGTTCCTGCAGTATTATCTCAACGCGCAGGGGGACAGGGTCTACACCCTCAAGGTGAGTCCCCTCCTCCTTCCCGGGTGCAATCCGGATTGCAGAGCTGGGCGACTCCCGTCCAATCCGGAACCTTCCGAGCCTTCCCTAGTGCTCGCACTCCCGGCCCTGCCCCAGCCTACCTGCTGCCTGGCTCCAGGGCTCGGCATGCAGCAGCTGAGGAAGCCCAGGGCTGGGCTAGTAGGGGGCTGCGGGTCGGGAGTGAGGGGCACCGGCAGAGCGGGGGGAGGCAGGGGGCTGCAGGTCGGGAGTGAGGGGCACCGGCAGAACTGTGAGGGGCAGGGCTGGGCTAGCAGGAGGCTGCAGGTCGGGAGCGAGGGGCGCGGGAGCACAGGGCTGGGATAGCAGGGTGGCTGTGGGTCAGGCCCGGGTTGTTCTAACATGTCTTGTCCTTCCTCTGTCCCGTCCCTGGCAGAAAGTGGACCCCTCTGGCCAGCTGACCTGCTCCGCACACCCTGCCCGCTTCTCGCCAGATGACAAGTACTCCCGCCACCGCATCACCATCAAGAAACGTTTTGGCGTCCTGATGACCCAGCAGCCGCAGGCCATCTTGTGAGCCAAGCACCCAGCCTGCTGGAGCTGCAGCTGAGCCGAGATGGGGTCAAGCCGCTCCCCGAATCCAGCCCCTGGCTCCCACAGACCCTGTGCTCTGCCCCCCTGTGAGAACCTGGGTTAGATTGCCCATATCGAGCTCCAACTGGATATGCTGTTCCTCTGGGGTGCAAATAAATTGTATTGATCCCATATCTGTCAGGTTTTGATCATAGACCCCTAGATTTCAAGGCCAGAAGAGATCATCTAGTCTGGCCTCCAGAGTAACACAGGCGGGGGAACACCCCCAAAATAATTCCTAATAAACCTGCCTAGTGGTGATGCTGGGCCAGTCAGTTTCATGCTAGGGGATCTCTGCTTCATTTAGCAGGCAGAGATCCCCTTCAGGAGAAGGTGTAGGGGAGAGGGGGCTGATTTTCCATCTCTGGCGAACTTTAGAGGGAGACAGGGTTGTTTTTCACAGCAGATTTGCTCCAGGTAAAGCAGGAATTAATTTGGCCCGTGTCACCGGTAGGATTAGACCAATGGTTCTCAAGCTTTCGAGACTTCTGTAGCCCTTTCAGGAGTCTGATTTGTCTTGCTTACCCCCAAGTTACACCTCACTTACTTATACAAGCATACATAAAAATACAAGAATACAAGAGTGACTTAGCACACTATTACTAATTGCTGACTTCCTCATTTTTACCATATCATTATAAAATAAATCAATCAGAATATAAATATTGTACTTACATTTCAGTGTATAGTATGTAGAGCAGTAAGAACAAGTCATTGTCTGTATGACATTTTAGTTTGTCCTGACTTTGCTAGTGCTTTTTATGTAGCCTTCTGTAAAATGAGGCAAATATCTAAATGAGTTTATGTACTCCCGGAAGACCTCTGTACTCCCAGGTGTACGTGTACCCCTGGTTGAGAACCACTGTACTAGACAATCATCCTCTGTAGGAATCGCTGATCTCGGCCTCAAAGATTATAGAGACTGGCAGCGCATGCGAGCAAATTTGAAATGGGAGAGGGACTAGCAGGGTAATGGGGCTGATTTGGGGAGAGGTGGCTGGACTGTGGGACCACTAACGGGGGGATCTGTGGGGAACGCTACAGGCCTGCTGGGAGGGGAGGCTGAGGGGCGATTTGGATAGACTCTCCAGCTCATCTTACTTAAATCGTGGAGAGAGGAGTAAATTCATCTCATCCCCAACACCTCTTGGGGAATGATGGCCCCTGGTGTCCTGCAGGGGGCAGCATCTGCCTGGCATAAATGGAGATGGGCATTTTGGGTGGAGCACCAATCGGACAGTAGGAGGGTATGAAAACAAGCCCTGGGGTGCTGGGGACACAGGGCAGATTAATGTATGGCAGGGCACAGGATGCGGTAGAAGCGAGCACGGAAAGCCCTGCTTGATCTGCTGCGAGAATGTGGAGGGAACCCAGGAGTCCTGGCTCCCAGCCCCCTGAGCTGGCCAGGAGACCCCGCTCCTCTCCCCAGTGCAGGGAACCCAACTGGACATGTCCTACATGCTCTGTCTGCTCCCTCTGGCCCTGGGCCAGCTTTGCTCACTTCGCAGGCAGTGGCAAGGGACCAGGGCTCGGCAGAGGGTAAAGGGGTGGCACCTTGGTCCCAATGCCACGCTTGGCACTGGAAGGCTGCAGAGCTGTGGGGGAAAGCCCAGGGCTAGGATAGTGAAGGGCTGCAGGTTGGGAGGGAGTGGCACCAGCAGAGCTGAGGGGGAAAATCCCAGGGATCTGCGGGTCAGGAGTGGGACACTGCAGAGCTGCGTGTGGTGGGTGGGATCAGGGCTGGCGGGAGCTGTGCTCCCTGCAGTGCCTTTCACGGGGCCCCAGGACAAGCTCTGATGGCCAGCTGGAGCTGTTGGCGGTGGGTTCGATGCCTCAGGCCCCTCGGCGAGTGCCAGCAGTGGAGGTGGCATGTCAGTAACCCTGGTGCTGGCTCTGCGGGCTGTGCCAGTCCAGCTCCTGCCAGGAGAGGAGTGAGGGTGGCATCCATCCCTGGCACGAGCGGGAAGAGGCTCAGCCTGGGGCCCCTCACAGGACAGCTCGCGTCTACAACAGCCTGATCCCTGGAGAGACCACGAGGATGGGGGCTTTGCTATGGGGAAGGGAGCTGGGGGCACCACTCCCACCTTGCTCTGGGGGTGGGGGGATATCAAAACCCTGTCAGGCTGGAGGCAGGAAGTTGGGGTGACCCCCAACTGCCTTCCCTTCCCCACACCCTGCTCCCCCCCTTCTCTCACCAGAGACTGCCAGCTCCCCAAAGCCCCTTGGTTTGCCCTTCCTCTCCTCTGTCTCCCAGATAGCCCCTTCCCCACAGTTACCCCACCTCTCCCACTGCCCTCACCCCCAAAGACCCCCCTCCTCCTGCATTTGCCTTTTCTTATCCCTCAAATGCCCCCTCCTCTAATTTGCCCCAGCCCCTAATGCCTCAAATGCCCCTTCCCCCCACATTTGCCCTTCTAATGCCCAACCCCCGAATTTGCCCCTCCCCATGCCCCAAAATGCCCCCCACACTTGCCCCCATTCATCCTGACCCCTAATGCCCCTCCCCCACATTTTCCCCTTCCACATGTGCCATTGCCCCGAGCTCGCCCCCTCGCTTAATTAAACTGCGGCCCCCGCGCTGTGGTATTTCCCCCCTCCATTTATGACCTCTGACCCCTCTCCTCCCCCGCCCGTAAAGAACTAGACAGAAGCACAGGAAAAGCCCTAGCTCTCTGGTTCTGCGCATGTGCCGAGAAAGGGCGGGGGGGAAGCGCGCTTCCTGCGGACCACCCCCTCCTCTACTGAAGCCGGCAGCTGACAGCGCGAGCGGCAGCAGGAGCTGCAGCCCCGGCACGCGGGGAGCCTGTGGAACGTTGAGGCCCAGAGGCCAGCGCGCGCCTGAGGTAAACGGCTAACGGTCCCTAACAGCTACCCGGGGCTTTTCCCACGCTTTCGGGCGAGGAGGGGGCGCTGCGGGGCGGGGGGCTGCTGCGCACGCGCAATGTGAGCCCCCCCATACTATCGCACCCCCCCTTGCGCCACCGACCTGGTCACAGACTCTTGCTCGCCCTTCCCCCCATTGCACCAACATGGGGCTCTCTCACATCCCTTGCACCATCAGTTCCCCATATGTGGCTTGTAGGCCACTCGCACCATCTCCCCCCTCACAGGGCTCTTGTGCAGCCTGTGCGCCAATGATCTGCACAGGGGGCTCTTGCATACCCCTTGCACCACCGGTTCCCCCACATGCGGCTTGTGCATCCCTTGCACCGTTGCTCCCTCACAGGGATTTTGCACACCCCTGCACTATGGACCTGTTCATAGGGGTCTCGTGTGACCTTGCACCACTAGTCTCCCCCATGGGACTTGTGCACACCCTGGCACCAATTCACAGGGGGCTTGCCTGCCTTCTGCACCATTGGTGCCACTTATGGGGGTCTCGCAACCCTTCCAGTAGTGACTTGAGAGACCCACATCCCTTGCACCATTGTTTTCCTCACAGAACTCATGCATGCCTTTACACCAGTGATTTATTCATAAGGGTCTTACACGTTTCTTGCACCATCATTCCTCCTCTTTGGGGATCGAGCACGGATGCCCCACTCACTAGGATTTTGTATATCCATTGCCGCCCCAACACACTGGCGGTCTTGCACCATCATCCCTGTCCTGCAGTGGGTTTGCATGCCCTTGCCTCATTGACACATTGGTGATATGTATGCCCTTGCATAATTGTATCCCCTGTATATGGACTATATGGGGGCTTCGCATGTTCTCATGTGGGATTTTCTCACCCTTGCATGACTTCACGCCTTCATGTGAGTTTCATCAGGATCCTGTAGAGAGTTTGTGGGCCCTTGCCCTAGGATCCTCTGGAATAGGCATATTCCCTTGCGCTACTGTCTGTCCTTGCACTAGTCTGACATTTAATAGTTGTCTTCTCACCCCAGGACCCTGTTGAAAAGTTGCACGTTTTTGCAGCAGGAATATTCATGCACCATAACCCTACCAGGACCTCAAGAAATAGTTTCATATGTCCTTGCACCAGGACTCTGTGCAATAATCATCTCCTTGCATAAGGATACTCTACCTCCTTGTACCGGAACCGTGTAGAATAGCTGCCATCCTGCACCAGGACCCTTGAGTTCTTACACCTTCATGTTACACCAGGATCACGTGAGATATTTGCAGCAGGACTTTTTGGGATACTTGCTTTCCTTGCACATTACACTAGAAACCAGTGGGTAATTCTTCTCGCCGTACCTGGATCCCTTGGTCTCTTCTGCCTCCATCGTTGCACTAGGACTTTGTAAAATTCTTTTGCCTCCTTGCACTGTCTCATTTCCGTAACCAACAGACCCCTTGCTTGAACCACCTTCCCTGCAGGATATTTGCAAACAACTGCTTGCCCCAGGACTTGAGACGTTCTCCTTGCACATACTGTCCTTGCAGTGCACTTCTCCAAGGATTGTCTGCATGCCAAAGCCTCGGGCTAGGGCCTCTGACAAAAAAATCATTGACTAAACTAGACAGCTGTGAAATATTTGCATGGTAAACCATGGGTCAGCTCCCGTGCTCCACCTTTAGCCACACCTGTGGAAAACTCACTTGATAACCATTGGGTGTCTGGACACCACATTGCACCAGACCGCTGAGGATCCATGCTAGACATGAATCCACTCGGTGGTGGAGCCTGCTGTTACCCCACTCATTTCGTTACCCTCCTAAATTATCGTTTCACTTTTATTTGTTATTGTTTCTGGACGATTAGAATTTAAAGCTTCCAGGAAGTTATTAGATTCCTCCACGCACGCATGCACCAACGCCAACGGTCTCCTGCCAAAATGGCTTCCGTCCGGTTCATGGTGACCCCTACGAAAATCGACGACATCCCAGGGCTCTCTGACACTAGTCCGGACCTCAGCTCCCGCTCCAGCTCCCGGGTCCGCTTCAGCTCCCGGGAGAGTGTCCCTGAGACAAGCCGCAGCGAGGGCATGAGTGATTTCTCAGGGGCCACCACCTCGGTGGCCACTGTGGCGGGCGAGCTGGCTAGCGACAGGACGTCCAACCCCCATGACATGGCGGAAGGTAGGTGGTACATGGCCGATCATGTGCATGAACATGAGAGGCTGGGAAGTCAACAAGGTTCATGTGGCTGGTTTGGGCTGATGTGGGAGGGTGGAAGGAGACCTGGGTGCATTGGAGTTGGACATCTTGTGGGAGAGTGACGAGAGACATGAATGCAATGGAGGTAGACAGTTTTTGTGCATTGGCGCTAGAGCGGGACATCTCCAGGGGATGTTGGACGAGTCCACTGCAAGTTACGGGTGCATTGGAAGTGGAGGAAGACACTATGGGTGCATTGGAGATGGCATACTCAACTTACAATACACCCATCTGTTGGCCAACTTGTGGTTGCGATGGAGATGCACACCGCAACTGCTGGGTGTGCTGGAGATGGAAGGAGACCTCTTTCAGCTGCACTAAAGAGGGATGACTCAAGGGTTGTTTGGAGATGGAGGGGGATCAGTTATGGGTGACTCCACCATAATTCATGGCTGCAGTGGGATGGGCCAGTTTATGGTGGCTAGTGTATCACCAGGTGCAGTTGTCTTGCCAGTTCTCTGTTGCTGCCTATTAGGTGCCTCCTAAATGCTTTGATCTTCCCATTTGCTCACAACAAACTGGAACACACTTCCAGCTTCCATTTTGGGGGCGAGGTGTCTTGGTTTCCAGCTTTAATGTAGGTGTGGCTGGACGGGGTGGTGTTTTCAGAGGGTTATAGTGCATTGACTCGATTGGTATCCCTGGCTCAGCCAGTACCCTTTTTTCTTCAGCCTTTTTCCTGCATGGGAAATGCTGAGCAAGGCTCAGGGGAAATGACTCGGGAGAATTGAACTTCCCTTTAATTGTGTTGATTCCCTTTTTCATGCGGACTCAGATGAGAGATGAGTCCTACATCGTGGCAGTGGGGCTTTGGTCACCACTGATTCAGAGTCACGGCTCCTCTCGGGGCCTCCCAGCGTGGGTTATGTTACAGGCCTGATAATGCTGTGGTCTGCTGTACGTGCACATAAATGCCGTGTTCGTCTCATAGGATGTGGGTGCAGGGATTGCTCACCCAGCACTGAAATGCGTCAACTTCTGGGGTGAAGCAGCTGCGTAACAGTGCATAATAATGATGCACAGTGCTGAGATGCAGCTGCCTCTGGTGTGGAGCATGGCTGCTGCTTTAACAGCCCCAAGAGTTTAGGACAGGAAGTGAAGGAGGACTTTGGATTGGGTTAAAATTGCAAGGAGAGATTTAAAGGAGGCAGAGGTGACTCTTTAGAGCTAGGATTTGCTGGGACGCTGTGGGTTCGTTCCCAGCTCTTGCAGTGAACATGAGTGTGCAATTGTGAGTCCGCCCTGGCACCAGGTCTGTTCATCTCCCGCTTGTCATAAGGGGCTCATGGATGGCCATGGTCCAGGGCAAAGCTGATCAGCCTGGGCTCAGGAAGGGAGAGCTGGTTTATGGGTATTGTCCGGCTCATACTCCCATACCTATGAGCCTTCTCCACTGGAGCACCCGGGATGATCCTGTGCTCCCTGTTCCCTCTGTGGGGTCACTTGTGGGACAATACCCTGGTAAGGTCACAGATGTTTCACAAGACATCAAGGCCGCTGTGTTCCTCGAAGGGGGTCCTTTTGTTGCCATCAGAGGCCCGAAGCCCAGTGAGGCAGCAAAACGGGCCCTGCAGGAACTATAGAGCAGAAATGCATGTGTGTGACAGGCCTGCAGCAGGAGGACAGATTGAGCAGACAGCTAGTGTCTCGGGGACTTAATGTCCCCAGCACCTCAGCTGTTTATCTCCCGGGAGAGGCTGGCTGTGCCTTTCTGGACATCCTTTGTCCTTGGACACAGGGAGAGCGGATGGGAACTGGGGAGAAGGCTGCTGCATGACCTGATGTGACCCCAAGGCTGGGATGAGTGAGAACACGGACGGACACACACAACTTCCTTGATTTTTTCAGTACATGGACAAAGACACAGATGTACAAGCACACACGCATGTATGGGGTTGACTTGTTTTCAGCAGCAGCTCATGCATACACAGAGACAGGTGCATAGAGCTTATGTGATCTTACACGCCCACTCCTGCATGGGGGCCTACTTGACCCACTAACATGAGTGCCTGCTGCCCTCCATGCTGCGCTGTCTCCCCACTTGTTTGTTTCACCCGCAGTCCCTGTCTCACGCAGCCCCCTCCTTCCCATCATCCCATGACAAATGGCCCTTTGCAGCTTCCGCCTACGCCTGTTCTCTGTTCCTCAAACAGTCATAGGGCTGGGAGAGCTCACAGCCCGTGAAGGTGAGAGTGGAGTGGTGCCCTGGGCTCCCCTCAGTGCTAGGGGCTAGGTCCTGATCTCCTTTCCCCTCACCCCCGCTCCAGATGCTCACAGCTGCTCTCTGGCCCTCCCTATCCATTGATTCCTCTGTCCAAGCTAGATGGATGTGTGTCCTTTCTGTGCTGTGAACAAAATGGAGTCAGGTCTCCACTGCAGTCAGGTGTGACTCTGGGTTGACTGCAGGGGGAGCGGAGGCCTGGAACCAGTCCTGATTCTGTGGCAGCTGAAGAGAAACCCTGGGGGGTGACTCCAGTTCTGCCCCATAGTGTGTGATCCGACCTCAGCCCCCCTCTGCTCTGGGGCATCACACCGCTGTGTGGGCGTGTGCAGCTGGGGCAGAGAGCGGAGGAGGAACTGAAAGGGCACAACTGGAACAGGAGGTGGGGCCCTGGGTCAGGACTGGAGGTAGTTAGCAAAATTACACCCAGCCCCCAACTATCCCAGCCCTGGCTGCTGTCCTCTCCCTCCCGCACAGCTCTGCTGGTGCCCCTCAATCCTGAACCACAACCCACTGCTATCCTATCCCTGGGCTCCCCTGCCTCTGCTGGTGCCCCTCAATCCCAACGCACAGCACCTGCTGCCCCAGCCCTTGTCTTCCCCCAACCCAGTAGTTTTGCTGGTGCCCCTCAATCCCAACCTGCAGCCCCCCGGCTATTCCACTTGAATGTATACGATGGTGTAAAGTGTGGTTTGGCCTTTTGATGGCGGCAGAAATAAAGTTGAAAGATGCCTGACAGGGGAACGCAAATTGTCCCTAATAAGGGAATTGAGGCCAGGTCTACACTACAGAGTTAGGTGGACGTAAGGCAGTTTACATCGACTTAATTATGTCTGAGTCTACGCTACAGTGGTGCTTCTGCCAAAATAAGTAGGCCTGCTACACCAACGTCATGACTCTACCTCCCCAAGAGGCGTAGGGCTTATGTCGATGTAGTAAGGGTGATGCAGTGTCTCTGTAGACACTGTGTTACTTACGTTGGCTGTCAGCCCCAAACTGGGCTGACAGCTGTTAGCACCCTCCAGCCCTGCTGCCTCCCGTGAGGTATTGGAGGGGTGGGGAAGGAGAGCATGATCCTGGCCCCCGTCCCCCAGTCTCTCACTGGGTCACAGCATGGGGGCTCCAGCTATCAGCCCCAGCAGTGGGGCTCGCAGTGGGAGGCTCCCCACCCCTGCCCAGCCCCAGCTGTGAGTCTGTACCTGTCTGTTTCACAGCAGGGAGCCTGCCAGCTGGGAAATAGACATTCTTGTCAGTTTCACGGTTGGTTTTATTATTTCACATTTCCTTTCCATCTCTCTCTGTCAGCTCAGGGGGGAGGGGACTCCAGCTGTGAGCTCCCCACAGGCTGACTTCCAGAGCCCAAGCCAAAATTTGAAATAATAGCTGCCATGAAACTGATAAGACTGTCAATTTCACAGCTGTAGGCTCCCTGCTGAAAAACTGAGCCCCTTGTGGGCTCCACAGTTGGGGCTGTCAAGGCTGGGGTGGGGGAGTGGCCCCGCTGTGAGCCCGGCATCCGCCTGACAGCTGGGGGTGGGGCAACTGTGAGCCCTATGCCTACAGTTGAGGTTGTCAGGCCCAGGGCTGCCAGGCTCCAGCTGTCAGTGTCCAGCAATGTCCCTTTTCAGTCGGTGGATGCGCCCCTGGTGAGGACGTGCACTGCCAACAGAAGGAGCAAGTGTGGATGTGAACCACCGCTTTAAATACTGCGGTAGCTGTACGTCCACTTAATTTAAATCAACTTAATTTTGTAGTGTAGACAAGCCCTACATTGCTCTGTTCCTAATCGCTTTCCACTGATCAGCTCAGAGCAGTTTGCAAAGATAACTAATTCATCTGAGCCAATGCAGGGGGTGGGAAGCCTCAACAGAGAACTGAAGGGGCCGCTGTGCCAGGGCTCTCCTCTGCTTTCTCAAGGGGTTATTCCAGGGCAGGGGGAGGTGTGGCTAACCCCATTCTGGAGTGGGAAGTGGTGTGGGTCCAACCCAGCATTTGTGTGATTCACTCTGGCCTGGAGTTCCCCATTTAGGCATTTCCTAAACTGATTAAGACCTTTTCCCTAATCTCTGCTCCATTATGGTATAAATAGAGAGGACGGAGTATGTAGGGAAAAGACTACCATGCTCTGGAGTTTGCCCAGCTCCACCTCTCTTGCTGTAATCCACTAGACCCACTCCCCTCCTCTCCCCTCCCAGAACTAGGATAGAACCCAGGAGTCCTGCCTCCCAGCACCCCTGCTCTAACCCACTAGATTCCACTCCTCTCCCAGAGCTGGGGATAGAACCCAGGAGTCCTGATCTGATTCCATCCTCCCTCTCTGAAAGCCATGCTACAGCTCAGGCGGCTACAGACTTCTCCATCCCAGACAGTAGCTGTGGGGCTGTTACCCAGAGCTGGCTGCATCGCACTGCTGGGCCCGTGCAGGCCCCTGCCTCTCCCATGTTGCCTGCTACAGTTCAGCAGGAGAGTGAAAGCAGCTGTACGGTGGAGCAGTTAATCCTCTTAGTGCCAGTAAGACACACACAGCAGGGGAGGGCGTGTCCCCCCCCACACCATCCCGCCTCTTCCCCTGGGGCCTGCCAGTCACCTGATCCCGTCACTTCCAGTCCCGTTCCTTGCCGGCGCTGGGGGAAAAGTTAGTCCAGAAAATGCCTCACTTCACTGTTACCAAGGTGGACGATGAGGAGGAGGGTGGGGTGGAAGAAGGGGCCCAGGAAGGAGCCAACAGGGCTGGCATCTGGATGCCCAGAGAGATCATGGTGTCAGGTGAGCCGTCATCTAAACACGCCGCATTAATCTGCTTTACCTGCATCTGTCTCTTGGCTGCTCTTCCCCTACCTGGCTGCCCCCTCTATCTTGGGGGTGTGTGTATGGGGGGCAGTGTCTCTTTATTGGCCCCTGCCTCCAGATTGTCGTCCATGCCTCCCCCCCGATCCAAGCACTCTCTCCAGCCTGCCTTCCTCAACCATCGTAGCAGCCTCCCCTGGGCTCTTCCCAATCCCTTGCATGATTTTCAGTTAAACACCAACCACAGCTTCGCTACTGATTAGTGAAGGAAGTGCGCTCCAGTGGTTAGAGCCGGGCAGGGGGCCTGGGAACCAGGCCCCCTGGGTTCTTCCTCTTTGTAGCTTTGTGCTTTCTGTGCTGGTTCTGCCCCTGCTCTGGGCCTCACTTTCTCTGCTGACTGTGGATGTGGGGGACCTGTGGAATGTGCTGCAGGGTCTGATCCTGAGCCCTCCAATCTCAGTGGAACCTTTCCATGGATTTGGATCAGGCCCGGAGACCCTGACAGAGAAGGGGCCGTGGGAATGCCCTGTGCTGTTACGCTGTACAGGGTTGGTGTGCATTTGGGTCCAGTGTGGGTCTGGACAGGCAGTTTTTGGGAAGGGATCTGTGGGGTGACTGTCCCCTCAGGGATGGGGGATGCAGCTGGGGATGGGCACTAGGGGCTCCTGTCATAGCGGGAGTGATGGGGGTAAGTAAAGGGGGGTTATGTGTTTGCTCAGACTCTAAACAGCTCTTGCCACCAAGAGAGAGGGAGCAAACCCCAGTGTCCTGGCAGAATTCAAGCTCTGGTGATTCTGCCCTGGTCAAGCCACATGGCACCCTCCTTCGCTGCCTGTCCCAAACCTACATGACAGCGCTGTGTGGCTGTTACCCAATTGCTCCCACCCCAGAGATGGCCATCTCTCAGTCCCAGGCTAGCCATTTGTGTGCAGTCTCGCTGTGTGATTGTTATGCAGCTGTCAATCCGCACACCAGAGGTGGCCGTATCTTGGCTCTGGGCAAGCAATCCCTGTGCAGCGTTGCTATGTAGCTGTTACCCAGCTGCCCCGCCCCAGAGGTGGCTGCATCTCAGTGATCCCAGTGTAGTGTTTTTATATCCCTCCCTGCGGATTGACTGAGAACCTCATTAGATGGTGACCCTAGCCCCCGCATGCCCTCCACCCCTGTGCTTAACCCTTTCCTTTCTGCCATACCCCCTGTGGTTCCTAATCAATAGTCAGTAATGCTCAGTGGCTGGAGCACTGGGTTTGCATTCTCCTTTGGCACAAGCCTCAGAGATTGGCCTCCCCTGTTGACCTAGAGGGTGCGCTCCTGGGAGAGGGTGAATGTTGGGGGAAACTCTTGCGGCATCTGCCCCTGCTCTGGGCTTGCACAGAGGAGCCGGGCGGTGCTGGCTTGGCTCTTTCCCCGGCAGGGAATTTCCTTCCATCTCTCTGACTTTTTCATTCTTTCTTCCTGTCTGACTTTTTCATTCTTTCTTTCTTTTCCCTGCCCCCTCCTGGCTAGACCAGGCTCTGTGTAGCCTGGTAAATGCTCCCCGCGGTATCTTCCACCCACTGTGCCCGGATCTCAATTGGGCATTGCACATGGCCAACATGACTGTTGTCAGCTGCAGCTGGAAAGAACAGTGGGGAGGGGGGGTGGGGGAAGGGGGTTACTATACTACCCACTTCATACAAAGCTCCCGTGTTAGTCCAGCTCCCTAGTCAGGACTCCTGAGCTCTCACTGTGGTGTCTAGTGGTTGAAGCAGGAGGGGCTGGAAAAGGCTGGGTGCCAGGACTCCTGGGTTCTATCCCAGTCTCTGGGATTAGGGAGGGGGGGGGAATGTCCAGCCAGGGCTGGATCAGGGCAGGCGCCCCCTGGAGGGGAAAGGCCTCATGTTCCTAAGTACGTAACCATTCACCACCCCTGCCTTGCCCAGTGGTTGAGCGGGAGGAGGCCTCATGTCACACAGCAGCACAGCTAATTCGATTTAGCTCCAGCATGGAGGGCAGGCTGCAGCCTAGGCAGTGTCAGGGATTATATCCCAAGCCTAGCCCCTGGCTTCCTGCCAGTCCGCCCTCTGCTTGTCAGGGCTCATGCTGTCTGTCTGCTAGATGGGGAGGAGATGGCCTATGAAGGTACTCCCAGCTCTGGGCTGCACAGCTACAGCGGCTCAGATGGCGTGCTGAGAGCCAGGACTCCTGGCTTCTGTTCCTGCTCTAGTGGTTAAGCAGGAGGGGCTGGGAGTCCAGACTCCTGGGTTCTTTTCTCAGCAGAAAGTATAAATATGGGATAGAGGGTCAGTGACAGAAAATCTACCCAGCTCTGTGGAGTGGGAATGTAATGTAGCTCAAGCACTGGCCACAGGATCAAGAGTCTGTAAGTAGGGATAGAACCCAGGAGTCCTGTATGGTGTCCTAAGGCACTGACCCCTTAAGGGACCCTTTTCCACCCCACAGGTGGTTCAGCTCCTTGCTTTTCTCTTTCCCTGCTCCCAAAACAGGACCACCTCTGGGGCAGTGTGTGAATTGGAGCGGGGCCAGCACTGGGACAGATCTGTTCTCCGGGCAGCTGGAAAGGGCAGGATCCCAGCTGCTTCCATGTAATTCCCAATTATCCTGGGCCGTTCCCTGACCCAGCGAGCAGGGACAAAGCCCCAGTCTGGCACCAGATGCTGCCTCATCCGCTGAACAGCAGGGTCAGGGGACAGACACAGCCGGGGGGAGCTGTGGGGCTGGACTCTTTCTGTCTTTCCCTTCTTTGTCTCTTTCTTTCCCTCCCACAGCAAGTGGGCTGTGGTGAATCCTTGGGCTCAACAAAGGCTTGATTCATAGCCTGTCCCAGGCCAACCATCACCTCAGCCAGTCGCCCGCCTTCCTCAGTCACGTTGCTCTCTGCTGCTTGAGGGTTTAGGTGACAGGGAAAGATCTGAGGAGTGGAGTCCAATCTTGGTAGATTGGAGTCCAGCCTGCCGTGTGTGTGTGTGTGGGTGGGAGATTGACAAGTTTCCTACCCTGCCACCCTGCTGTGTAGAGCACCCTAGAATCGGTGCCCACTAGAGGGAAAAGACCCCCATCTCCCATTCCTGACCCCTGTGAGCCAGCCAGTCACCCGCACTTGGGTCAGGTTAGAGCTGGTGTCTCTTAGAGGGGAAAGGCCCCATCCCCACCTCCCTGAACTCTGCTATATAATTGCGCTGGTTTCTTTTTATATTATTGCAGCTCCTTTTTGGTTTTGAAATCATGCTCTAAAACCCCCAGAATCTTTGCTCATTTCCCTTTCTTTGCTAACATGTATCAGCAGGAGGAAATATATTTGATCAGAGTCTTTTGTTTGTTTGTTTTTTCATTCCTTTTTTTTTTTCTTTTGTGATTCATTTTTTCCCATCTTCTGTTTGATTTTCAGACGTGAGTCAAACCTCCATCACAGGGGAACAGTGTCAGCTCTTAGGTACGGTATTGCTAAGGAGTCGTGCGTGTCTCTTTCTCCTGAATGAGCCTGTGTGTGTGTGTCCGTCCATTTGTGCCTACCGCCTCTTGCAGGAGGGGATGAGCCCTGCTTTGTGTGTGTCTGTCCCTGCTGCCCCCCACCGAAGCCCTGCTCTGTGTGTGCATGTGTGTTTCACCCCTCCATCAGACTGCCCTAGGGAGAGGGTAATTTACATACCCCTCGCTACTAATTCCCCTCTTACCCCGTACCCATCTGCTCTTCCTTGGATCATTGCAGGCACCTGCAGCCTGAGCATCAGGCCCAAAACTGAGGTGTCACTTTGTCCATGGTCCTTCTCAGCCCTATTTCACAGTCCGAGAGGCGGTCTGGCCTGTTGGAACTGGGCGACAGGACTCCTCAGTTCTACTTAATCCACTGGGGTGTTGGGGAGAGTGCCTCTATGAAGCACCCACCCTGCTCCCTGCAGCACAGCACCCCCAGGGGCCTGCACTGATTGGGAGGGGAGAGCGCCCCCTGCTGAGCCCCTTCTCTCTGCAGCACAGTGTCCCCTAATGCCATGCTGACGTAGTCTACCTTGGCTTTTCCTGCCGGGGAGCCCCCAGCCCGTGGATCGGGTGCTGTGGAGCTCGCTTGTTAGTGCCTCGTTCTCCCGCTGACTTTGTCCCGCATCAGCGGTTGGCTGGTAGCGTGACTTTCCCTGTGCTGTGTACAAAGCAAACACTGAGGCCCTGCCGCCGGCAGCTGCACCACCAGCAATGCCCGTGGGAGGGTGACCTTACGCTGCCCCAGAGTGGTGCTAGGGGCACGATGCTTTAGGGAGTGGGGTGGGGGCTCTCCCCTGGCAGTCTGTGCTGCCCCAGGTCCCCAGTGCAGCACTGGGGGGCGCTGTGCAGCAGGGCGGTGGCGTGGGTGCTCTCGCAGCACGAGCCATGCCAGGCAAGCGAACCCTGGGCAGGGTTCTACCAAGCGCCCCAGAGGCCCGGCCCGAGTTGTGGGCCTGGGGAGCTCTCGCGCCCCCCGCCCCCCCAGGTAGTAGAGAGTGGTTATTCCAGTGCCGCTGCCTCCCGGCTGAACGTGCGGAGGCGGCTGCAGGTTCGTACTGTGCAGGCATCTACCTGTGATTCCACGGCCTGGGGGCCGGGCCGGGCTGGGCAGGGCAATAAAGGAACAGGTGGTGGTTCTGCCCAGCCCCGCTAGGAATCTTTCTCTGAGCAGGCAGCAGCCTGACTGTTGACTCACCTGTCGCCAAGGGGCAGAGAGAGGGTGAGACCTCAAGTTAGAGCAGGGAGGGGCTGGGCACCAGGACTCCTGGGTTCTATCCCCCCCCCCCAGCTCTGGGAGGGGAGTAGGGCCTAGTGGGTTGCAGCAGGGTGGGATTGGGAGCCAGGACTTGATGCTGTGCCTCAGTCTCCTTCCATTCCAGAGGAATTGTAGAGGTTTGAGTGTCTGTAAATTGGTGCTGCAGTCCCCCTGCCAGGAGGGAGCAGTGAAGGGCTGGGCTCTCGGAGAACCCTGGTAAGCTGGTACCGGGCTGAGACCCCCCAGCTCACGGCACCTCACACTGGGTTCTCCCTTTCCCCTTGTCTTTCCTCAGACCCGGTGCGCAAGAAAGACATCTATCTCAACAACACCAGCTACGAGGATGGGGATGAGTACTTCGACAAGAACCTGGCGCTCTTCGAGGTACCCCGGTGGAATCTGCCCCCCGTAGGCAGGACGGAGAAGACAGGCTCACTCCAGGGCAGAGTGGGGAAGGGGGGGGGTCAGTTGCTGCCCCCCCGGTGGCCAGTGCTGGGAGGCTGAAACCTGGTTCATGTCCATCCAGGAGCTATGATGCAGCCCTGCCCCCCGATGGGGTAACAGGGCCTGGGGGTTTGCCCCTTCCCCCAGAACTAATCCAGCAGCCAGAGTCCGCTGTGCTCTTCCTCCGGCTGGTTCTCTGCTGCTGGGATGGGGGTGACGGGGCTTCAAGTTCACACCCCTTTGAGATGCACGTAAGCAGTTTACACCTCTTGGAGCAATGGACTCGGGCTGCATCCCAGTGACGGGCTCAGGCTCTCTGCAGACTCAGGCAGTGTTGGTTGCACGAGGACAACTCCCCATTTCACCCCCTCTCGTCCTGCAGGAGGAAATGGATACCCGGCCCAAGGTGTCCTCCCTGCTTAACCGCATGGCGAACTACACCAACCTGACGCAGGGAGCACGGGAGCATGAGGAGGCTGAGAACGTTGCAGAGGGCAAGAAAAAGCCCACAAAGGTGAGGGGCTGCTGGGCGGGATTGAGGGCCATTGGCCGAGCTGGGACCAGGCTGGATCCCAGGGTTGGGATGGCATGGGGCTGAAGGGTGGGATGGAGGGGCACTGGCAGGGTTGAGGGGCACTGCGGGGAGCCCAGAGATGGGCTAGCAGGGGGCTGCAGGGCGGGATTGAAGGGCACTGGCAGGATTCCAGTCCTCTTAGTCTATCCTCTCCCAGCGCAGGAGTCCTGCCTCCTAGCACTCCTTGCCCTAATCACAGTCTCTCTCTTTGCAGACACCCCAGATGGGCACCTTCATGGGCGTCTATCTGCCCTGCCTGCAGAACATCTTTGGGGTCATCCTCTTCCTGCGCCTCACCTGGGTGGTGGGCACGGCCGGCGTGCTGCAGGCCTTCGCCATTGTCCTCATCTGCTGCTGCTGCGTGAGTGTCTGCCCCCAGTGGGGCACTAAGGGGCGCTGGCGCTCTGCCCTTGCGGGCAGTGCTGACCCTAGGGTGGCACTATCGGGCGCTGTGCTGCAGGGAGCATCCCGGCCAGAAGAGTTCAGTGAGCTCCCTAAGGATCACGAATCCTGGTGTCCTACCCAAATCTGGCCGCAGTCGATACAGTTCTGCCTCTCCAGGCCTCCCCTGCATCCATCGTTGGCAATGTCATTCTCCACCACTTCCAGTTCCAAGCCCTTGCTCCCTGCTCACCGGGTCTCTCCAGCTGCCTCATCCCACCCCAGCGGCAGCCGCGTTCAGTGCAGACCGTGTGAACCTGATGTCTGCTCCCAGTTCAGCGTGTTCCTCTAACACCACCCCCTGCTGTCCTCTTTTACCTTCTCCGCAGACGCTGCTAACTGCCATCTCCATGAGTGCCATTGCCACCAATGGAGTCGTGCCGGGTGAGTGGGTCAGGCCAGTCTTCTCTCCCGGATTGGCCGGCCTCCCTATCCCCTCAGCCCTGGGCCCATCAGCTAGGCCTCAGTTTTTCCCTGTGGTGGTTGTTTCCTTCCTGACCCCCATCTCAGGACATCTCCTGCCCTGGCGCCTGTGAATGGGGAGCCCTCGGGACACACGCCAGTCTCCCTAGCCACTCCCTGACTGCCTCTGTCCTCTCTCTCCAGCTGGGGGCTCCTACTTCATGATCTCCCGGGCGCTGGGCCCCGAGTTCGGGGGTGCTGTGGGGCTCTGCTTCTATCTGGGCACCACCTTCGCCGCCGCTATGTACATTCTGGGAGCCATCGAGATCTTCCTGGTGAGAATGCTTCCCCCTGGAGGCCTGGGGTCGGGGTGTGTGTGTGTGTGTGTGTGTGTGACCTGTCCCATTCCCCACCCATGTGAACCAGCCGGCCCCCCACCCTAGGGTGGCTTGGAGCCGGCGCCTCCTGGAGGTGACCTCTCTCTCTGCACCCCACACAGATGTACATTGCCCCCGAGGCAGCCATTTTCCGCAGCACTGATGTGCTGAAGGAGTCGGCAGCCATGCTGAACAACATGCGGGTCTATGGCTCAGCCTTCCTCATACTCATGGTGCTGGTGGTCTTCGTCGGCGTGCGCTACGTTAACAAGTTCGCCTCGCTCTTCCTTGCCTGTGTCATCGTCTCCATCCTAGCCATCTACGCCGGGGCCATCAAATCCTCCTTCGCCCCGCCCCGCTTCCCGTAGGTGCCAAGGGGCTGGCAGAGGGTGTGGGGTGGATTGGCACTCCTCGGGGGTGGGACTTGCTCAGGGCTGATCTCAGCTAGGGGCGCTGTGGGGGGCTCTGCGCTCCTGGGGGGTTGCTCAGGGCTGATCGCAGCAGGGGACTCTACATTCTGGGGCACTGTGTCTATCTGCCTTCCCGCCCGGCGCAGGGTCTGCATGCTGGGAAACCGCACCCTCTCTGGCCAGCAGATCGACTTCTGCGCCAAGACCCAGGAACTGGGCAACTTGACGGTGCCCACCCAGCTCTGGGGCCTCTTCTGCAACTCCAGCAAGCAGCTGAATGCCACCTGCGACGAATACTTTGCTCACAACAACGTCACCTCCATCCAGGGCATCCCAGGCCTGGCCAGCGGCATCATCACTGGTGAGGGCCTAGCGCAGCTGGGCGGATCCGCCCACCAGCCGGTGGTCAGGGGATCCTGCCATAGCTGCAGCCTGCTGCCATCTGGGCACGAGCTCTGTCAGCTACGGAGCCCCTCAGCCCTCTTTCTGACTCGAGACCCTAGTGGCTCTGGGACGGGACAGTACAATCCCCTGTGGCCTCACCCCGTGGCCCCAGCCCTGCTGACTAGCCGCTTCTCCCTCCCTGCAGAGAACCTGTGGAGCAGCTACCTGCAGAAGGGGGAGATCATTGAGAAGCCTTCAGCCCACTCTGTCGATGTACTGGGGGCCATGAGCCAGGAGTATGTGTTGGCCGACATCACCACCTCGTTTACCCTGCTCGTGGGCATCTTCTTCCCATCTGTCACTGGTAAGCACTGCTGCTATGGGGGATGGGGGACCGTGGCATCCAAGACGGCAGCACAGGGCAATCACCCCTAAGGGGCCCTGCAGGTTCCCACCTCTTGGGAATAGGACTCTGGCGTCCGGGGTGGCAGCATGGGGCAATCACCCCTAGGGGGCCCTGCAGGCTCCCACTGCTAGAGAATAGGACCCTGGCGTCCGGGACAGCGGTGCAGGGTGCTCACCTGGCAGCTGTTTCTCCTGTGCCGATCTTTGCAGGGATCATGGCTGGCTCGAACCGCTCCGGAGACCTGAAAGATGCTCAGAAATCCATCCCCATTGGCACCATCCTGGCCATCCTCACCACCTCCTTCGTCTGTATCCTGCGGGGGCTGGCATGGTGGCGGGGGATGGCACGGACAGGGCAAGGGCAGGGGAGGGACGTGCCTCGCTCAGGGTCAGAGCATGCCAGAGCCCACACAAGGCCTGTGGAAAAGGGCCCCCACCACGGGGCGAGGCTGTGTGGGGGTGGGGGGATCCCTGACCACCCTGCTGTGACCCTGGGGCCACGGCCACCTTGACTCCACACTGCTATAGATCTCAGCAACGTGGTTCTGTTTGGGGCCTGTATCGAAGGGGTGGTGCTGCGAGACAAGTGAGTATTGGAGGGGTGTCTGCCCTGTCATGTCCCTGCCATCACCTGCTACTGGGGCTGCCCGACCTCTCCATAACGCCGCCTCCTCAGGGGGTGTGGGTCCCCCTGCCCATAGTGCTCTTTCTGTGGGGTCCCCCCAGAGCACCCCTCCACTGGGTCGTTTGTCCACTTAGGTCTCCTGGTACACTGGGTCCCCCCAGCCCATGACACCCCTCCATTGGGTCCCTGCATCCACTGGGTCCCCCTAGTGCCTCTCCAATGGGTCTCCCCCAGCCTATAGCACCCTTCTGCTGGGTCCCTATAGCTCCCCTCCGCTGGGTCCCCCCCAGCCCATAATGCCCCTCCACTGAGTCCCCATTGCCCCTCTTCTCATTGGGGCCCCCGTCCATGCGGTCCTCCTGTCTGTAGCCCCTCTTCCCTGTCTGAGGCTCTCCCCCAGCTGACGGTCCCTCTCCGGGCGGCAGGTTTGGCGACGCTGTGCACAGGAACCTGGTGGTTGGGACGCTCTCGTGGCCCTCGCCCTGGGTCATCGTCATCGGGTCCTTCTTCTCCACTTGCGGGGCTGGGCTGCAGAGCCTCACTGGTGCCCCCCGGCTGCTGCAGGCCATCGCCAAGGACAACATCATCCCCTTCCTGCGGGTAAGAGCGCGCCCCGCTTCCCTCTCCCTCCCACAGTACCCAGCTGCCCCGCACCAGAGCTGACTGCATCTTAGCAGTGGGCGAGCCATCCCTGTGTAGTGTTATGTGTAGCTGTCACCCAGCTGCCCTGCCCCAGAACTGGCTGCATCTCAGCGCCAGGTGAGCTATCCCTGTGCAGCTGTCCCACAGCTGCCCCGCCCCAGAACTGGCTGCATCTCGGAGCTGGGCAAGCCATCCCCGTTGCGGGGTTGCTATATGGCTGTTACCCAGCTGCCCCACCCCAGAGCTGGCTGCATCTTAGCGCTGGGCGAGCCACCCCTGTGTAGTGTTATGTATAGCTGCCCCCAGCTTCCCCACCCTAGAGCTGGCTGCATTCTTGCCTTTCTGAAGTGGGTTTCCTGTGTTCTGTCGCCCTAGGTTTTCGGCCATAGCAAAGCCAACGGGGAGCCGACGTGGGCTCTGCTCCTGACAGCTGGTATTGCCGAGCTTGGCATCCTCATTGCCTCGCTGGACCTGGTGGCCCCCATCCTGTCTATGTAAGGTCCCCGCCGAGTCACGTGGGGATGGGCAGGACTCTGTGGAGGGGGCAGATCCCAGCTGGGATTTGGCATCTGCATCCCAGAGTGGGGAATCCCGTGGTGGCCTGTCAGCCTGCACACCCTACGGGGAGCCCCCGAGGCACCACCCCCCCTGACTGTCTCTCTTGTCTGTCCCGGTCCGTAGGTTCTTCTTGATGTGTTACCTCTTTGTCAATCTGGCCTGCGCCTTGCAGACCCTGCTGCGCACCCCCAACTGGAGACCCCGCTTTCGCTACTACCACTGGTAAGGGAGCCCAGGGGCCTGGGTTCTGTCCCAGCACTGGGAGGAAAGTGGGGTCGAGTTGTTAGAGTAGGAGGGGCTGGGAGCCAGGATGCTGGGGTTCTATCCCAGCTCTGGGAGGCGACTGGTGGGTTGGAATGGGGGTCTGGACTCCTGGGTTCTCTCTTTCTCTCTCCCTGCAGGGCGCTCTCATTCGTGGGCATGAGCATTTGCCTGGCGCTTATGTTTGTGTCCTCCTGGTATTATGCCATCGTCGCCATGGTGATCGCCGGCATGATCTACAAATACATCGAGTACCAGGGGTACATGTCGCCTGCGGACCGGGCAGGGCCTGGCACCCCTTGGGCTGGATGGGCCACCTGGAACTCCTGGGTTCACCCATTTCCTCCCTGACCTTGGGGAGTTCCCCATCCCCTCTGCCTCGGCTTCCCCATCCCCTGCCTGCTAGGGAGCAGAGTGGGGCTTGGGCTCCATGGGGCAGGCAGCCCTCGCCTTCTCTGGGGGCCTCCAGCCAGGGGCCTGTGGGCAGCTGTGGTAATGGGAGACACCCCCTTCCCCCAGTGGCCACCCTTCTGGGATGTAGTGCTGTGGTTCTGTACAGGAAGCCCTATCTCCTGGGTTGAAGCTGGAAGCCAGGATGCCTGGGTTCTGTCCTAGCTCTGGGACGGGAGTGGGGTCTGGTGGTTGGACAAGGGTGTGCTGGGAGCCAGGACGCTTGGGTTCTGTCCAGTCTGAACTTGGCCAGGTCCCGTCCCCTGCCTCAGTTTCCCCAGCTTACTCATGTGACCCCACCTCCTCGGTGTGGGGTGGACAGCTTTCGGCTGAGCACCATGTGTCTCCCCCCACAGAGCCGAGAAGGAGTGGGGCGATGGCATCCGGGGCCTGTCACTGAGCGCCGCCCGCTTCGCCCTGCTGCGCCTGGAGGAGGGGCCCCCCCACACCAAGAACTGGAGGTAGGAGAGCCCCCCCATGACCTGCTGCTCCATGGGGTGAGCCCCTTCTGGCCCCCATGTGACCCCTCACTCCCCGCAGGCCCCAGCTGCTGGTGCTGCTGAAGCTGGACGAGGACCTGCACGTGAAGCACCCCCGCCTGCTGACCTTCGCCTCGCAGCTCAAGGCGGGCAAGGGCCTGACCATCGTGGGCTCCGTCATGGTGGGCAACTTCCTGGAGAACTACGCCGAGGCGCTGGCAGCTGAGCAGGTCAGGGAAGGGGGGGAGAGCACCCCCTGCCGGGCGCTCTTCCCTGCCCTCCTCCAGCACCATGGTGCCCCCTGCCGAGCCACCCGGCCCTGCTCTGTGTGACACAGTTCCTCCATTCCCCACTGGCCGCCCTGTGCCCCCTCCCGAGCCCCTGCCCCCGGGCCCTTGCTCCGTGTGGCCCGGTGCCCCTTGCTGAGTCACACGCCACTGCATGACACCCCTTGGCAAGCCCCCCACCACCCTGCTCCGTGTGGCACAGTGCCCCCTGCTGAGAGTCTCCCCCATGCCAGCAGCACGGTGTCCCTTGCTGAGCCCCAGGACAGTACCCCCCGCAGAAGCCCCCTGGCCCCTGCTCTGTGTGGCACAGCATCCTCTGCTGAGCGCCCCGGACCCTGCTCTTTGCCCCCGCCAAAACCCCCACGAGTGCTGTGGCTTCCCTTGCAGAGGCTCCTGCCCCCAGCAGCACAGCGCCCCCTAGCAGCTCCCCTGTGTGTCTTGCAGACCATCAAACACCTGATGGAGGCAGAACGTGTGAAGGGCTTCTGCCAGCTGGTGGTGGCAGCCAAGGTGCGGGAGGGCATCTCCCACCTCATCCAGTCCTGCGGCCTGGGCGGCATGAAGCACAACACGGTGGTGATGGGCTGGCCCAATGCCTGGCGCCAGAGCGAGGACGCCCGCGCCTGGAAGACCTTCATCAGTATGTGGGGGCATGGGCTTGGGGGAATCCCCCCCCGCTCACCACTGGTGCCCTCTGACCTCCACCCACTCTTGTCCCCGTAGGCACTGTCCGGGTCACCACAGCTGCACGCCTGGCCCTGCTGGTGGCGAAGAATGTGGCCTTCTACCCAGGCAATGCGGAGCCCTTCGCTGAGGGCAACATTGATGTGTGGTGGATCGTCCACGATGGGGGCATGCTCATGCTGCTGCCCTTCCTGCTCAAGCAGCACAAGGTGCTGGGGGTGGGGTGGGGGCTTGGTGTGGGGAGGGGGGATTGGGGCGGCAGGACTGGAGAGCTGGGCTGCAGATGCTGACCGTTCCAGTGATTGGTTTCCCCCACAACCCTGTACCCCCAGGTGTGGCGTAAATGCAACATCCGCATCTTCACGGTGGCCCAGCTGGAGGACAACAGCATCCAGATGAAGAAGGACCTGGCCACCTTCCTGTACCACCTGCGCATAGAGGCAGAGGTGGAGGTGGTGGAGATGGTGAGAAACTCGAGGGGGCGGCTGCGGGGGAGAGCAGCAGCTGAAGAGTAGTCTCTCTCGGGAGCCCCCGATATAGGCCCCACCTCTTCATGTGGGACAGCTTTGTCCAGGGCTTGGAGCGGGAGGGAGCCAGGACTCTTGGGTTCTGTGCCAGCTCTGGGAGGGACGTGGGACAGGTTGCACCTCTGGTCTCAGCTCACCCCACCCCATACGTGCCCCATGCAGCACGACAGCGACATCTCGGCCTACACCTATGAGCGGACCTTGATGATGGAACAGCGCTCCCAGATGCTGCGCCACATGCGGCTCTCCAAGACTGAGCGGGACCGGGAGGTAAGTGGGGACAGGGGTGGGAGTGGGCTGCTCCCCTCCCCCATGGGGTACTCCCTCACTCACCCCCTGGTCTTCCCGCAGGCCCAGCTGGTGAAGGACCGCAACTCCATGCTGCGCCTGACCAGCATTGGCTCTGATGAGGACGAGGAGACAGAGACCTACCAAGAAAAGGTCCAGATGACCTGGACCAAGGATAAGTACATGGCGGCCCGCGGGCAGAAGGCCCGGACTCTTGAAGGCATGCAGGACCTGCTCAACATGAAGCCGTAAGCCCCTCCTGCTTCCTATCAGCCCCCAGGGACCACCCTCACCCCCCCATCCTTGGAGGTGGTGGTGGAGGAGATGCCCCAACATGAGGCTAGAAATGCCATGCCAGGGGAGGAGGAAAGCATCAGGACCCCCCATGGAGCCACCCTGCACTGTCTCACCCTCCCCAAGCTCTCCCTGCGCAGGGTTCCCCCCCAGTAGTTGCCCCTAACCCTCCCGCCCCCTGCAGGGACCAGTCCAATGTGCGGCGCATGCACACGGCTGTCAAACTCAACGAAGTGATCGTCAACAAGTCCCATGAGGCCAAGCTGGTCCTGCTCAACATGCCGGGTCCACCCCGCAACCCTGCGGGCGATGAGAACTGTATCCTTGGCATGGGGAGTCAGGGGGGTGCAGTGTCTGTCTGTCTGACTGGTGTTGGCTCCTTGACCCGCCCCTCAGATATGGAGTTCCTGGAGGTGCTGACCGAGGGGCTGGAGCGGGTGCTGCTGGTGCGGGGGGGCGGCAGCGAGGTCATCACCATCTACTCCTAGAGCACCCCCCCCCCACTGGCCCCTGCCACTTCATTCCACTGCTGCCCTCCGGGGCATGCCAAAATTCAGTGGGGGCATACCTCCATGGAGCACAGTTACCCCACCTCTCTACCCCTACAGGGCAAGAAAGGGGGATGCACCAAAGGGACTGGCGTATTAGACCCAACAGGGCAGAGTCACAATGGGGCAACCCTCACAAAGTAGGGATGGGAGAGATTTCCCATGGTGCCCATCACCACACAGTGCCAAAGCTGATTTGCTTCCTTTCCCTTTTAAGCTGCTGTGGAAGGGTTGTGGGCTTCCTTCCCTCTCCCCCCCTTTGTGTACAAGCAGCATGGTTGCTGTAATGTTTCCTGCTGGTGGCAGGCCGGTGCCAGTCACTGATCCAACTTCCTTGGCCTAATGTACAGGGTGCCTGTTGCATGGGGCCAGAGGGGGGCTGAGAACTAGGAGAAACCACCAACTCATCACACATGTGGCTTAAGTTTTTATTTCACATTCACTTCTGCCCCATAGTCCTGGGGTTGCTGGGGGAGGGGGGGTGTCCCCACCACCCACCCCAGATGTTGTTGTCTCTCAGCACTAATCAGGGCAGGCTGGACAAGTGGTTTCTGGAGCCCCCAGGGCAGCCTTGAACCAGGCAAATCCAATCTCCTCTCCCTTTGCGGCTTCAAGTGGAAGACCGGGCCTGGCAGCCACTACTTGATCCTTGGGGGGTGGGGGGCTTTTAATTTATTGGGGATCAAGCCCCAGTTTACAGTGTTGGGGGTCAGGAGGGATTTTTTTTGCTCTGTACCAGAACTGTGTAAAGAATAAAATTTTATACGTTAAGTGTGTCTCTAAAGGCCAGAGAGGGAGCACAAGGGCTGGGCTTGCCTAGGGGAGGGAAGATCCAGATTGTTCTTGTAGGGTGCACCCGGCCTCCCACCCCACACAGCAGGTTCATTAGCAGCCTCCCCCTTGGGGGGGGTGCTAAGCAGGGGGTGGTGGGGCTGCCATCACTCCAGGGGCTACGAGAATTGTGGGTCATAGCAGCAGCCCCCCACCTGTGTACTCCATCCGCTGCAAAGAGAGGGGAGAGGAGGTCAGCACAGCCCTTCCAGCCCCCACCCCATCTTCCTGCAGGCCCCACCCTCTGCCCAAAAACCTCTATGCTGCCCCCAGGAGCTGAGCCCTCCCCCCACCCTAGCCTTCCCCCTCACCTCAGGGGGCTCGATGAAGGCCAGCCAGTCAGAGGCATGGGTGGGCAGCAGCCCCATGGACTGGCACTTGTAGACAGCCAGCGCCAGCCCCAGCAGGTTCCCGATCAGATACACCAGCCCCTGCAGGAACTTCTGGCTAGAGCTCTCCAGAAGCTTGAAGGCTGGGTGGGGGGACAGGAAGAGGACAGTCAGACTTGGGGGGCAGGAGCCACGGTTGCAGGGAGGCTCCAGCCACCAGCCGGGCAGGAATCTGGAGCAGGGCAGGGTTAGGGGAGATGAGCTGGGACTGCAGGGAGTCACTGATGGGCCTGGAGTGCGGGAGGGTTGATACTCACTGGTGGAAATAGCCATGGGGACAGAGGAAGGCAGGTGGTGGGAGCAGTGGGGAGGGACACTCACTGGCAGAGATGGCCAGGTGGGAGTGTTGGAAGGAGATGGGGGATACTCACTAGTGGGGATGGCCAGGAGGGGGCACTGGGAGCAGTGTGAGCCATGGGGGGCAGGGAGGGGGAGGAGAGAGGGGATACTCACTGGCAGAGATGGCCATAAGGGCCTGCAGAGGGCGCCAGGCCATCATACAGACCATCATGGTGGGGAAGATGGAGATGGTGTTCCCAGCCATGTACATGATGAAGAGGTTCATGGGGATCTGCTTCAGCGGCCCCAGCGCCACATCCCAGCACCGCTGGCGGGGGGGGGGGGAGAACAGATGTCAGAGGGGCCTTTCCCCACCTGCCCCAACCAGCATCCTGCTCTGAGCCCCCCACCCCACCTCCTTGGAGAGAACTGAGGTGTCCAACCCCTTGCACCCCACACTTGCAGCCAGAACCCAGGTGTTCTGGGGGTTCCCATCCCCCCAGGCCCTTGTTCTCCACCCCCACAGTACCTTCTCCACCAGGATACGGTCGGTCTCCTGGACGCTGGTGTCAGGGACCTGCTTGTCTGAGTAGCCCACGGGATAGAGGGATTCACCTTGGCCACTGCCCCGGTCGCTGCGGCCCCTGGGGAGAGAGGAGGAGTCGGGAGCTTTGTGCACCTAGGGGAATGCAGCCAGCTCTGGGGTGGGGCAGCTGGGGAACAGCCGCACAGAACACTGGAGGGGTGCAGCTCGCTTGGCACTGAGATGCAGCCATCTCTGGAGCAGGGCAGGTTGGGAACAGCCCCTAATAAACTGGGAGGGCAGGGTCCCCTTTCCTAGCAAGCCACCCTGCAGGCTGTGAGGGGATCCCAGCCTCTGGACCCCCAAGGGTGTTTCAGGCTCCTGGAGCCTGATCTGGGGGTCCTGGGCACAGACCCTCTACCTCGCATCCCCTCTCCGAGGGCAGAACCCGCTGCCAGCCGCCTGGCCCCATACCCGCTGTCCAGCCCTCCGGGGGCTCCCTGGCCGCCAGCCCCGCAACAAACCCCCGGCCGGCTCCGGCCCCTCACCTGCCCCCGCTGCCCGGGCCGCCCAGCTCGATGGCCCACTTGAAGCGCCGGCCCCGACTGGCCACCAAGGGGGTCCCCATCTCCGCCTGCAGCCGGGGCAGAGTCAGAGACCGAGCCGCAGGGAGCCCAGGCCCCCCGCCCCGAGCAGGGAACCCAGGCGTCCCGGCCCTGGCCCCCAGCAGGGAACCCAGGCGTCCCGGCCCCCGCCCCGAGCAGGGAACCCAGGCGTCCCGGCCCCGGCCCCCGCCCCGAGCAGGGAACCCAGGCGTCCCGGCCCCGGCCCCCGCCCCGAGCAGGGAACCCAGGCGTCCCGGCCCCGGCCCCCGCCCCGAGCAGGGAACCCAGGCGTCCCGGCCCCGGCCCCCGCCCCGAGCAGGGAACCCAGGCCCCCGGCCCCGCAGGAACCCAGGCCCCCGGCCCCGAGGAGGGAACCCAGGCGTCCCGGCCCCCCCCGGCCCCGGCCCCGGCCCCCGCCCCGAGCAGGGAACCCAGGCGTCCCGGCCCCCGCCCCGAGCAGGGAACCCAGGCGTCCTGCCCCCCCGACACTCTCACCCGGCCCGGCGCCCCCTTGGAAACAGCTAATTCCCGATTACAAGAAGCGACTTCCGCCTCGGTTTCTCACGTCACTTCCTGTTGCTGGGACAGGGGCCGCTCCCCCTCCTCCCCCCACGGGGCGGGGCGGTCTCGCCAGAGTGAGTCTGGGGAACCCGGAACCGCTCCGCCCCCAGCCCGCGGGCCTTAAAGGGAATGCCGGGGAATTAAAGGGGAGGTTGGGGGAGTTAAAAGGGAATACTGGGGGAATTAAAGGGGAGGTTAGGGTGTTAAAAGGGAGTACCGGGGAATTAAAGGGGAGGTTGGGGGAGTTAAAAGGGAGTACCGGGGAATTAAAGGGGAGGTTGGGGGAGTTAAAAGGGAATACGGGGGGGATTAAAGGGGAGGTTGGGGGAATTAAAGGGGAATACCGGGGGATTTAAAGGGGAGGTTGGGGGGTTAAAGGGGAATACTCAGAGAATGAAATGGGAGGTTAGGGAATTAAAGGGGAGTAGGGAGGGTTTCCAGGGCATTCGGTGGGAGTTTGTGGGGATTGAAGCGGAGGGTGGCAGCAGTTCAAGGGGCATGTGGGGGGTGTCACAGAGGAGGGAAGGATGCTGAGGGGATTAAGGGGGTCGAGGGTGTGATGGCCACTAACACAGGGTTGTTAGAAGACACCTGGGGGTCTGGGCAGGTTATCGGGCTCTGTACATGTGGGACGGGGGCATGAGGTGGTCCATGGGGTGTTTATAACCCTCCCACCCACGACCATATGGATCCTCCAGAGCAGAGACAGCACCATGATCCCACACACAAGGGGAGGCAAAGGGAGGGGATGGGGGCACCTGTGCCTCCTGATCCAGCTCCACATAACACCAGGCGTCCCCTCCCGACAGTGGGAGGATCTCGGGGCCAGGACACCTGGGTTCTCTCCTGGCTCTGGGAGGGGAGTAGGGTCTAGTGGTTAGAACGGGGAGGGTTCTGGGAGCCAGGACATCTGGGTTTGATCCCAGGCTCTGCTGTGTCATTTCCCCTCTGGTGCTGCACAGTCATAGCTCCCAGCTATATGGTGTCACAGAGGTTGCCACATTCCCTTCGCGTGGTCACAGACTCACCGTGGGGGCTTCTCAGAAACCCTCCTGCCGCGGTCGCTGTGATCAGGGCTCATGGTTGGTCTGCCCAGCCCCATCCTGTTCACAGTTGGGCCACTGTGAGAAAGATCAAAGGACCACGTTCCCACCCGCCACCCAGATCAGTCGCTATCACACACAGCCCCCAGCACAGAGACATGGGCAGGGAGCTGAGCGAGGATGAGGCCAGATGAGTAAGAGCCCCAGATGTGCCCAGCTGTGAGCCCTCACCCGGAACAACCCTGGATTCTGCTGCACACATCCCTCCACCAGGGTCTTCTCTGTCCATCATCCATCCAGTTGTGCAGGGACCCAGCTGCTGGGCTGACACACAGCCTGTCCTTCCCCTCAGCCTGTGTGGTCGGCTGTGGTTGAACAGAGTCTGAACCTGCCATTCAGATGAGCACGTATATGTGACCTGCAGGTTTCCTGCTGGGTCTATAAATCACCAAGGGCTGAGGCAGATGCGCTGTCCCCTTCCCCAGATGGCTCTGATAATGCAGCTTCTGCTCCTGCTCCCCACAGCTTTTTTCCTGCCCCCCGGGGCTCTGGCTGGTGAGTACAGAGGGAATCAGGACCCGTTCAGTGCTGTTGTGGCTGTTTGCACATCCTGGGTCCTCCCCAGAGTCAGACACTTCTGCCTTGGGCGTTGTGCTCACCCTAGGACCCAGCTGGGATGCTATGGGTTGAAGAAGGCTGGGGCAAAGTTGGTGCCATTGCTAAAGTTGCATAGCCACAGGGGGAGATGCAGGGCCCGTGTCCACATGGACACGTGTCCACATGTTGTTTGTGAGTCAAGCTAACCTGCCCAGAGGCTGACATTAATCATATCTTGGTGTGGGGATATCTCCACCAGGATGGATCACTGGTGGAAAGGAAGCCCGGTCCCACTCCAAACCTTACATGGCCTTCCTCAACATCAGCACGAAGCATGGGCACGAAAGGTGTGGAGGATTCCTGATTCAAAAGGACTTTGTGCTGACAGCTGCGCACTGTGACCTCGGGTAAGTGCCTGCTTCTTGACTCTCAGTTTCAAAGTTGTTGCCTCCTGGGGAATCCCCAAAGAGGGGTCAGCTGTGGCTTACTGCCCATGGGGGTAGGTGGGAATGTTTACACTGCCTGGGTGTCCACTAAAGTGGAATTAAATGCTGATATTTAATTTGTCACCAGTAGGGTTCAGAGTTAAAGGCCTGGCCAAGATGAACAGAGGCAGGGCTATCATTCCAGGCAGTCTCTGTGGGCGTAAATCAAGCTCATGGGCTAGCGTTTTAAAGTCACCTAGGGGAACTGAAAAACCCATTCCCATTACACCAAACCAGAAGGGTCCAAATCCCCAAATCTCAGTCACAGAGTTCTTTGTCCTCCCAGTCCTAGAGAGGACCAGGAAGTGTTAATAAAGTGGGGGACTTAAGGATATCTTTGCAGCTGCTGGGGCTAGATGGTTAAGTCTTTTTATAAATGGCACAGTTTGCTTGATCCTGCTGTTTCCTGATTTGCAGAACACCGATTGAATGAATTTTGCTTTTCGAAGAGATGAGATGAGATTTTCAAAGGTGCCTAATGGACATGCATGGCCAATTCCCATTAAAATTAAATGTGGGGGTCTAAAAGCCCTTGACAGCTTTGCAAATCTCAGCCGATGTGAGGTTAATTATAATATCTAGCTCTTCTCATCTGGAGATCTCAAAGCACTTGACAAAAGGGGTTGGAATCATTATCCTGGGGATGTATAAAAAAGGGGAATTTCAAGTAGGAGTAGAGGAGTTATTCTACCCCGGATTTGGCCCCGGTGCGACCACTGCTGGGATCCTGTGTCCAGTTCTGGCACCCCACAATTCAGGAAAGATGTTGACAATTGGGAAAGAGGTCAGAAAAGAGCCACAAGAATGGTTAAAGGATTGGAAAACCTGCCTTAGAGTGACAGGTTTCAGAGTAACAGCCGTGTTAGTCTGTATTCGCAAAAAGAAAAGGAGTACTTGTGGCACCTTAGAGACTAACCAATTTATTTGAGCATGAGCTTTCGTGAGCTACAGCTCACTTCATCAGATGCATACCGTGGAAACTGTAGCACCTAAGGTGCCACAAGTACTCCTTTTCTTTCTGCCTTAGAGTGAGAGACTCAAGGAGCTCAATCTGTTTATCTTAACCAAGAAAAGGAGATCGGACTAGATGATCACAGTGGTGCCTTGTGGCCTTGGAATGTACAAATCCCCATTCTACAGATGGGGAAACTGAGGCACAAAGAGGGGCAGTGATTTGTCCAAGGTCATCCAGCAAGCCTGTGAATAGAACCCAGGTCTCCTGAGTCCCCCTCCTGCACTCTACCCACTAGACCACACTGCCATAGGGTAACTCCTCATGCATGACTTGACAATAATAGCTCCACCCTCATTCAGCTCCATGGAGACGTTAATTCTGAACCCTACTGACAACAATTCCTCTCTCTGTACATAACTGTTTCACTGCAGCTGCTTTTAGTGGCTTTGAAAATCTCTGCCTCTGGTTCCTATTTTAACACCCCAGAAGGTTGGGGCAGCATGGATGAGTTTTGGGTGGGGGAGGCCAGTGGGATCTAGGACCGCCCAAGCCTACCCCATTCCCAGCCATGACTCTCTGCATTCCCAGAAAAATCATGGTGTATCTGGGAGCTCATGATGTGACCAAGCGGGAGCGGAGCCAGCAACGTCTGGCTGTCCGACGGAAAATTCCCCACCCGAAATACAACAACAAGACACAGGAGAACGACCTCATGTTACTCAAGGTACCAAAGACTGATTTTCTCCTGTTACATCCCTGTTAGTCTATCTGTCTCCTCCTGGTGGCTCTTGGCTTATAGAGTCAGCTCTTTGAGGCATGGACTGTTGCTTCAATCTGTGTTTGCGCAGTGCTTGGCACAATGTGGTCATGGGTCGTGACTGGGGTTAGCCGTGTCAGTCTGTACCCACAAAAACAACAGGGAGTCCGGTGACACCTTAAAGACTAACAGATTTATTTGGGCATAAGCGTTCTTGGGTAAAAAACCCACTTCTTGCGTCTGAAAGCTCATGCCCAAATAAATCTGTTAGTCTTTAAGGTGCCACTGGACTCCCTGTTCTAATAAATAATGTACAGCACCTTGCACAGTGGGGTCATGGGTCATAACTGGGGCCCTAGGTGCTACCATAATACACCTAATAAAGCATAATAATAATGACCCCATATTCAGAGTATTCAAATCTTGACTCAACATGACTTCTTTTGTTTGTTTTTTGGTCAAAAATGGGGGGTTTGCCCCAAACTGGAACCTTCCTGAAGAAACGTAGCTTTTGCCTAACTGTGCCTGTAAAAAAATATAGCAAAATGAGAAAATTGCTGAAGAAATGTGGGGTTTTTTTCTGTTGTTTTTTTTAAATGATGTTTTGAAACAGTGGAGGAATTTTCCACTTTTCACCAGTTTTTATTCCCCTGACTCCAATACTCAGTTAGAGATAAAAGATGAAAAAGTGCGAGGGAGTGACAGAGAAATTTGTTTTCTCTCCCTTATTTATTTTTCCCCACTGGCAAAAAATTAGGAAGAATTAAAAAATAGACATGTTTTCTTTCCTCCTCTATGCTAGGCAAATGTGGGAAACGTGGGGTCTCCCCCGCAACACATTCCCACACTTGGTTCCTTTTTTTGTTTCTTGTTTTGCTTTTCACTGCAAGAAAAAAGGTCAAAGCGACTGAAAGTGGGGAAAGAATCTCTGAACTTCAAAATGGGGTTTTTTAACTGAAAATTTTCATTTTGCATCTGATTTTTTAAAAAAATATGAAAAATTCTGAATGGTATGAAAAATTGTTTTTCCCCCTGTAAATTGATCATTCTCCTCTCCAGACATATACCGGGCAGGGATCTCGTCCCCTCCTGCAGAAGGGAGTGGCGTCTTTCTCACATACACACAGTCCCAAAACCAAAATCCTTCAAAAAATGTGGTTTCAGAAGTTATTTGTATTATGGTGGCATTTC